TCATCAATGTAATAACATGTAACTCTCATAAATGCAAGATTGTTTGTACTAGTTCATGCATTCACTGTGAGAGACACTCTTCAATGATTCTTCAACTCTGATTCTAGATGTTGCATATTGACTTTATAGTGTGTCTCAAGGTTGAACTGAAGACAGAATTGATGTGGAATATGAAGATTTGAATTAAGCATTTGAAGAAGTGTTCAGAATTCGGGGTTTTCAATTAATTGAAGAGAAAGATTCAGAGATATACACATGTGAAGTAATTGTTCATGAAAGTTATCAGATAAGAGTTGTGAAATCAGAGTACTGATACAGGGTTGTTTTCACATGATTTTCTTCAAATTAGAAAGTTAGTGTTATCAAAAATTGTTATCTGATAGAGCAACTTACCAGCTCAGTAGTAATTTTCTGATTATTTTTCTTTTATTGTCTACATTCTGATGACTTCAGATGTCAGGAAATTTCTTCAGAGTCATGACCAGTTCATAATGAATGTTTCTGAATGAAGTTGCAGTGATTGTAGCAGAGAGATGACTCTTCAGTAATCTGCAATGCAATCTGTTGATAATTATTTCATAGTTCATCTCAATGTTTGTGTTGAGTTTTTCATAAATTTCATGACCTGGAATCAGATGTGAAGAATGAAGTGGTTATTTATTATGATTGAAAGAGAGCATTCTGTGTTGAATTATAAACAACATAGACTTTGTGATTCACAGTGATTTCTTGAAGAGTTTGTGAATCTTCAATAGAAGTAAAAGAAGTGAAAGAAGTGAATTCAGAAGACATGATAATAATTTGAGAAAGATGATAATTTATTTTCAATAACTGATCACTGATGTGTGTAAGAAGAATTAATATAAGAGAAAATAATCTTGTTTCTTAGCTTAGTTATAATTTTAGTACTAACTCAGATTGAATATCATTGATGTATAAAAGTAAATAAACAATCTTGATTAATCTCTGTCATATTTCTTGAAATATATTAATATTATGAAAGAGAGTGTTACTAAATTGTGTTATCAGATAATATCATTAAAAATATATTAATATTGTGAATATCAATGTTGAAAAAATGTTGATACTTATACATTATAGTGATTTGTGAATCATGATAGTTAAATATATATATATATATATATATTGTTCCTGACTTGATTACAACTTGTACAATAATTTTTAAAAACTTAAAATTAATTTCAATTATTAATAATTATGAACTTACAACTAACTAATATAAAAAGAAAAAAACTTTTTCTACTCATCATCTTTCTTCTCTTTCTCATTCTTCTTATTATTCTTCACAATTTACTTCTCATTCTTCTTCTTCTTCTTCTTCTCCTTATCTGAGATGATAATCATCTTAAAATCTCCCTCTGCTGCCTTCTCAGAGAAGAGTTCCTGCTGCTCCCTCTCAGCCAGGTCAACCTGTGCCTCAAAATCCCGCATTTTCTGGTCTGCTGTCTCAGGTTCCATCTCAGTGACAAGCAGATTGACATGCTCAGAGAGCAGGGCTGTCTTCTCAATGTTCTGAATCATGAAGTGCATTCAAGACCTGAACAAGGCCTCAATTCTCTTCTTCTCTATCAGCTTCTGCTAATCAATTAGAGAACAGAAGTGTTATCAAAAATTGTTATCTCTTAATAAATAAAAAACTTATCAGTTTTAACTTCTTTATCTCTCACTTCAACATTCTCTTAATCTTCTTCTGTCACTGCTTATTTACAGTAACACTCTTCTTCTCTCTCTCTCTCTTCATCTTGACCTCAAATCATTCTCAGAACTTCTTCTGATTTCATCACTACTGTATGAGACTCTTCACTGTCTTCTTCTTCAATCTCTCACAGACAGTGTCATCTGCATTATTTCTATACTTAGTTCAGTCTAAATCTATCAGAAGTATTACTTAAAATCATTATCATTCTACTCTCTTACAGAGTCTCTTCAAGGCATCATAATATGCCTTGTGATCTGTCTTCTCTTGCTTGAACACCTTCTTCTTCTCTCTCTTCAATCTGTGATGATGCTCACGCGCCTTGATGGTCCGCAGGACTGCAGAATATTTGAAGAGGAATGACATGATTGATTTCAGTGAGTGTTGAAGAGAGGTGAAGGCAGAAGAGGCGGCCAGAAATGATATGATAATAGTGATGATAATGATGGTAATAATGATGATAATGATGATAGTAATGATAATGATGATAGTGATAATGATAATGATGATGATAGTGATGATGATGATGATAATGATAATAATGATGAAAGAGAGAGTGCATTGAAATATATTACTGACTTATCAAATATAAAGAGACTTAAAGAAAATATTAACAGCTTTCAGTGATGTATAGAAACAGCTACAGTGTTGTATAGCAACATCATCTTCATTCAATACATGCACTGTTGATATTCTTTGTATACAGTTATCATATAATCTGTATCAGAGATACATGCAGAAAACAGATCTTTATTACTAGAACAAATGATTACAGCAATTCTCTGTTTTCATATTATAAAGATAAGTTATTCTCATTTCTTTCTTCTCTCTTTTCTCTTATTCAATCAATCACTAATTCCAAGCTGATATGAAAACTATTAAAACACTCTCAGAAACTCTCAAATTGAAGAGTATAGACTAATCAAATTTCAAATACAGAAGAAATCAAATTATCTCCTATCTTCTACAGATTCAATTACTCACTCTCTCTCAAATAAAACAGTAGTCGCGTTCCCTCCCCTCCCCCTCAATCAAACAAAACATAGCCCGTGAAAAGTGAGTACCACGCCAGGCCATAATGACCAACACAGCCTCAGTATGCAGGGCTGTATATGCACAGTGCATGCTGAACTGAGAGACTGCATGAGTTACAAACCAGCAGCAGCATCTCAGAAAGAGCTGTGCAGCATGAGAAAGCTGCAACTCTCAGTTATATGTGCAGAGAGTGAATCACTGCAGTAAGTGCATGTGCATTGAAGTAATGCTTTTTGATAATACTCAGTCTCTGATATGATGAAAATAGAGTCTCTCTGTGAGATCTGTTTCTACTAGAAGTCTGGGAATCTTATATTTCTCAAGACCATCTTCACACACCTTGTCTGTGAAATCAATGAGAAGAATCATTAATTTCAGTATTCTGCTCTTGATGTCATTCAAGTGACAGCAGAGTTCACCCTGATCACACTTTTTAAGTGTATATTTTCTAATTATTCACATTTATATAGATATATACTGATTATTTGTTAGATGATGTTAAGATAATGACTCATCACAGCTGTGTTATTCTCACTATGAGAGATACACAGTTGATGATGAATATTATAAAGACTCTGAAAAGTGAGTATTTTGAGAGTGCTGCAGCTCTGCAATCTTGATTTTTTTTTGTTTTTATTTTTTATTTTTTTCTTTTTCTTTTCTTTTTTTTTTTTTAATTTTCTTTCTCTTTCTGTCTCTTTTTTTCTTTCTCTTCTTTTTTTCTTTCTCTTTTTTTGTTTTTTTTTTTTTTTGTTTTGATTTTTTCTTGTTATTTTGTTTTTTGTTTTTTTGTTATTTTTTGTATTGTACATTTTTTTTTTTAATTAAAATGATATTGATTATGATCTGTGTTCAGAAAAGTAACAATATTTGATAACACTCTCTATTGAATTTTCAACAAATGAGCACTATGTTATGATATTATGTAAGTGAGAAATGATTTCATGATCTCATTTGATGCCATTTTCAATAATGAGATCAGAATGAAAATGTGACTAAGAATTCAAACATATTCTTTATCTGAGACTAGATTTTTATTTGAAAAGTGAATCTGAAACCTTTAATATTTGAAATAACAGAATTTGAAATCAATGTGATGAACACAAATCATGACCAGAAGTAATGCTTTTAGGCAACATGACAACTGTAAAGTTTGATCCTGGTCCCAGACACGGTCACATGATCAGTCTAATAACTACTGTCTTAATACTCTATCAGAGATTTATAATATATTTCATACAAGCTTACTTCACTATGTTATTATCAACTCATTCTCTTCTTAACTGACTTCTGACTAACAGTTATCAGAAATCATAGAAGAAGATAATAAACTTAAGTGAGAGATTAAGAATATTCTTAATAAGAGACTTCATAATCACAGCTGATAATATCTTGTAAAATAAGTCAGCTATGATTACTTAATCTGAACTCTGAGTTTTATATTATCTGAGATCACAGCCCTTGATCAATGAGAACTACACACAATCAGAGAAGAGAGAGGCTAATGTGATAAGCTGTGTCTGATCAATCATATAGACTATTTCATTACACTTCATAGATTTCATCAAAAGCTCTGATTCTCAGTCATTCTCAATCATCAATTCTCAGTCAAAAAACTCATGAAATTTCTATTCTTTCATCCCAAAGCTTCACTACATACATCACCGCGTACACATATAAATATTCACTCTGATTGCTGATTCTCACACTTTCTCTTTCTTTCCTTCTTTAATGTTTTTCACTTTTGTATTATAAGACCTATATATTATACCGATCTATTCGGCGTAGGCCTCTTACATATCATCTTGCAGCATCATTTCTCTCAAAGACCTCATTGCCTTGCAGCATCATTTCTCTCAAAGATCTCATCACCTCGCGACTGCTCAATGATCAGCATTTCCTCATTCTCATCCTCTGCTAGCAATGGAAAGCTTTTCATACTCTTCAAGCTATATGTCTAGGAGTGACAGAGGCTGTTAGCTACCTTGGGCAACTTTATAGCTGGTAAAAAACATGATTTGATGAACAGCACCCTTCTCGGTTGGGGGCTCAGCATGCACGGGCGCGGGCGTATGAAATGGGCGGGCAGATCAAACAAGCGTGAAGCTACTCGAGCATGTGGTAAGTAAAACACAACCGGGATAAGGCTCTAGTCCTGCTCATACGTTAACCTAGTTGACGAACGCCTTAATAGCCCAGGTTAATCCAGAAGAAGATATCTGAGCTTCAGCGTCAAATCCAGATTCTTCTTTTCGCGCTCGTTCCCTTTGTATACTCCGTCAAAGTTGTTTTTATAATAGAAGCTGTGATGTTCATTTTAGAGTAATATCTCTCAGAAGACAGCAAACCCGAGATAAATATATGATGAGATTTAAACAAATGTACAGTACAGTACATGTACCTTGTGGCACAAAGAAATGAAATGTCATTATGCACTCGGCAAAATTCAGCGGAGCGAAGAAAAAAAGAGTTTTTACTCTCATGTCTGCTCTCTCAACAGAAGCTCTTCGAACTTTCCCGCGAAGTGCGGTTTAAAGAAAGTTGTTTCTCCTTCCTCACTCACTAGCAAGGGAAGGCTACGTACAGCATAGGGCATCCGTAAGGAGTGACCTAAAACCAGTCGCCTGCACCGCAGAATCCTCATTGACGTTCACTGAAAGGGATGATCTCCGCGGTTATTACAGCATTCGAATAGTATATACCCAACCCGGCTTCATTTCCATACTATTTTCATCAGAGAGTTAGCATACTCCACACATCGTATAATGCGCCTCATTGTTTACTTACTGTTAGGAACACAGCAGCCGGTTCCCTGTGCACTTTTTGGCCTGGTGTACTATTAATCCAAGTTACATTTCTTCGGTAATAAACTTCTCCAGGATCGGGATCATCATATCCCTCAGCATTATTTTCCAGGTACTGCAACCTCCTATCCCGTCCTGCGAGATATGAGCTACTCAACTCTCTGTCAATGTAGCGCGGATCGAGCATGGCGCTGAACATAGCGTCTTCATCAAAGCACTTGAATGTCTGGTAGACAAGCATGTCGATGCCTTTGAGGTTGTTTGGGAGGTGGTCGTGGGATGCCCTCGCAGAGTGTGGATAGGCATGTGTGCATATGAAGCCAACAGTACCACCTGGACTCATAATGAACATGAGGATCGACAACAATTGCAAGATGACAATGGTGGAGCTCACCTTTTGGGAGGAAGTCAGCACACCTGACAAGTTTGTCGAAAGCCGAGTAGAAAACGAGGGACTTTTGGTCGATGGCATCAAAATTTTCTGACATGGAAGCCGGGCCGTGTAGGGTCCAGAACAAGTTGTAGGTCAGCGTCACGCGGTGTCCTTCAGTTACCTCTAGGACTTCATGCTCGCAGTCAGAGAAAAATGCCGCCCATTGAACCTGGGAATCACACTCAGGGCCCCAGTCGTAAATGACTTCGCGACCCTGATGGCGGACTGCGAGTTGGCCGCCTTGGTGTGGATGCGGGAGGCAGACTACCAGTGAGCCCATCTGTAGTTCTGATCGCGGTGTATCCACATGGGCTTTGAATTTTCCCGCAGGTCCAGAGTAAACCTGCCTTCCTAGTTAGTCGTTTCTTGTCTTCCCTCATTGTTCTTTTCCGCAGGAAAAGTGGTGGAGAAGAGAAAATGTATGTGATGTACATTGAGTTTGTAGAGCTGAGCTCGGATGCCGCGATAGTTGGTTTTACTTTTGACACGGCTGTACGCCAAAGCCTGAACAATCATATCAACAACTCCATATTCATAGGGAGTAAAATTGGTGGAAAAGTTCTCAGTGTCCATCTTCCCGGCCTTGCGGTATTCCTCATCGAGGATGTCCTTGTCCCCTTTGCCAAACGTGGCGGGCTCACATTCCTTCACGAGCTGACAGAAGGATGATTGAAGGACGGTGTCTTCGCTGACAGGCAAAGACACCATCCTACCAGTATTGTTGCTGGCATCGCCTGGGTTCCATCGAATTGTGATGGGGAAAACACCTTGACTGGTGCTGTCGATTTTGCCACCGATCGTAAAGACAGCCTTTTTTGCACTGGCATGCAGGACTTCTTGGAGGGCCTTAAGAGCTTCGTCAGAGTTGACTGCTTCTGAAGCCCGTGGAGAGGAAGCGGCTCCTGAGATTTCAGCGTTGCTAGTTTCAGACATGTTTGCTGATATCTGATGTTAGGACTAAATAAGGGATGAGAAGGCAAAGAAGGGTAAAGGGTTGCTGCTGTATGTTGGGTGCCTAATTGTGGCTTACAAGAAAGCTAACTAATGAACTCTGGACTAATCGTGCCGCTGCTTAACGTGATCAACCACCCAACGCCCGCCATTTCGCCATCACTATGATGAAATATTTTCAATGATATCTCAACAATGCAATTAGATTTTAAGGTGATATATTATATGATGAAAATATATATAGAAAATTACACATAAAAATATACAGCTAATTCTGTAGATGTATATTTGACTTAATAACTCATCTGAAATATGAAATCTTAGATGAAGATAGATTCAGTGAACAAGCAGTTATTGTAGCGGGCTACGCCCGATTGATAGACCATTTCATTACACTTCATAGATTCCTGCTGAAAGCTCTGATTCTCAGTCACCAATCCTCAGCTGAAGAACTCACAGAGTTTCTATTCTTCTGCTTCAAGCTTTATCTCATATGCATATAGATATCTGGTCATTTCTATTCTTCTGTCTCAAAGCTCTACCTTGTACACATAAATATCTACTTCAATTGCTGATTCTCATACTTTCTTATTTATTTTTCTTTTCTAATGTTTTCTACTTTTGTTATATAAGACCTATATATTATACTGATCTATTCAGTGTAGACCTCTTACACTTGAAAAATATTCATTATCTTCTCATTAGAAATAATTACTCATTAAGAAGATATCTAAATATGTAATAATATATAAGAAATAGAGAAATGAACAATCAGTTAAGCAGACACTGAGTTTCTAGATAGAAGCTTACTTATCAGTCACTCTGACTCTGTAACAAGATCTTATAAAGAGAATATCAGTGAAAGATCTGAGAGTTCTGATATCTTAGATATATAAGATATTCATATAATTACACTTCTTTCAATTCCATAGATATTACATATTTAATAAATGATATAGCTATGTGTACTGATAATATAAGAGAACTTTTAAATATAAGTATAGATACAGTGTCACAGTGACTCTGAGTAATATTGAAATTACAACAGTAAGAACTAACTGATATATATATAACTTAATAATATTAATATAAAGAAATTTAATAATTATTTTAATAAGAAACTTCTGCATAGATAATTTCAACACTGACTGAATCAGATATATATAATATAAGTGTTAAAGAAATATTTAAACACTTCTACATATTTTAATACTTCTGATCTCACTCTCTATTCATTATAAAGATTGAAAATGCTCATGAAACTAAGTGTAGATGAAGATGTCATCAGTTTATTAACTAATTAAGATTGATATATCAATAATCAATTGAAGAATTATATAAAATAGAAGTTTTATTTATAAATAAAGATATGTAAATCAGTGTTATATATATCTGATAATATTATTGAACATCTCAATGTTCTGTTCAGAGACACTGCTATACAGTAGAAAATATTAGATTGATTATAGAGTACTTAACAGAGAAATACTTCTCTTATAATATTCATTTCTGACTTCAAAATCAAGATTTCAGAAGCAGATGATTAATCTTGAAAGAATCAAATAAAGATTAGCAGGCTTAAAAAGACATTAACTTTTGAACTTCTATAAGCTCTTATAAGTGTAGATAAAGACCTGACTTATGAAGACTTCTGTATATAACTTCAGACATTGAATAACTGTCTTATCAAGCTCAAGAGTAGTCATCTCAAGAATTCTCTCCGCTTCAACACGAACTCGCTCGATTTTTCGAATAAGAACCCGCCGATAGATTCATCGAAAAGCCCTCAATCATATGAGCATTTTGACCCCATCGCTGACCGCATACCCCGTGTAGTGGTGGAGTTATCCAGTCAAACATGAACCAGATGTTGTTCAAAACTCCTGTGTAGGATTATCCCCTGTTCTCCTCTATCACACCACAACCCTGGGTCAAAATGCCATACAAATTGTAAGATGAAGAGACCTAGCTATATACATCAATCTTCTTGATTTTGAAAGATCTCTGATCTGTAATTGTCAAGATATCTGAGAAGTAATCTCTGTGAAAACCCTGTTCATCTTTGATATTTTAAAACATCAATGCCAAGTCTCACTCTCATATCATCCTTCTCAATCTGACTCATTCTCAGCAGAAAAATATAAAAAGATATCTCAGTAATAATATCAAGTATATAATTAATGAACACTTCTGAAGTGCAATCTTTATAAATATTCTGTCTGTCTTCAGTGTATCTAGACATATAATAAAACAAATTATTAACTCATCCAATCGCTTCACCATGAACTCGCTCGATTTTTCGAATAAGAACCCGCTGATAGATTCATCGAAAAGCCCTCGATCATACGAGCATTTTGACCCCATCGCCGACCGCATACCCCGTGTGGTGGTGGAGTTATCCAGTCAAATGTGAACCAGACATTGTTTGGAACTCCTGCATGGGATTATCCCCCATTCTCCCCTATCACACCACAACCCCGGGCCAAATTGCCATACAAATTGTAAGGTGAAGAGACCTAGCCATATGCACCAATCTTCTTGATTTTGGAAGATCTTCAATCTGTAGTTGTGAAGATATCTGAGGAGCAATCTCTGCAAAAACCCTGTCCATCTTTGATGTTTCAAAACATCAATGCTAAGTCTCACCCTTGTACCGCCCTTTCTAATCTGACTCATTCTCAGCAGAAAAATACAAAAAGATATCTCAGTGATAATATTAAGTATATAATCAACAGTCACTTCTGAAGTGCAATCTTCATGATCTGTCTTCAGTGTATCTAGATATTAATACTGAGTCTCACTCTTGTATCATCTCTCTCAATCTGGCTCATCTCTGATAGAAAAGTACAAAAAGATATCTCAGTGATAATATCAAGTATATAATTAACAGTCACTTCTGAAGTGTAATCTTCACAGTCTGTCTTCAGTGTATTTAGACATTAACACTGAGTCTCACTCTTATATCATCTCTCTCAATCTGGCTCATCTCTGATAGAAAAGTATAAAAAGATATCTCAGTAACTGTGCTTAATACATAATCAGCAGACATAACAATTATAAAACCAGTATATCTCAAGATCTGACTGAGTCTTTAATCTCTGCACAGTGAGATATATTAAATCTAGTTTTAATATCTCAATATTCAATAGATTCTGCAAGAGATTGAGAACAGCAACACTAGATTTCTATTGAATTTAAGAATTAACTCTATATTGATATAATCATTGATAAAGTCTTCTATTTTAAGATATAAATAATCAGTTTCTCTACATTCTGCTGATAATATTTATATTATTATATAGAAACAGACTTATATTCTCTATAATATCAAGACTCTGAAGAGAGAAAGTCTTGATAGAGAGTATACAGTAGTGTATATCTTAGCAGTTTCTATCTCATTCTTCTACAGCAGTTAATGTAAAAAAAAAAAGATCTTAGAAATAGTTTTTTACTTCTCTTAAAAAAGTAAGATGTTTTTCTCTGAGTTTTATATAATATTCTTACAAAGAATTAAAAACAGAGTTATTTTCTGTCATAATTTCATATTCTTTTAAGTAAGAATTACTTTTTCAGTGACTGAAGAGCTTTCATTAATACTTAATTCTTTTTTACACTCTTTATTAACTGATTTGAGTTGTATACTTATTGTGTGAGAAGAATTGAATAATTTAGAATAAAATTGAATAGTTTTAATCAATTTCTCTGTAAAAAATTGATTTATTTTTTATCAGTTTTTCTCTCAAAAACTGTCATATTATCTGATTTACTATCAATTGATATCATACTTTTTCTCACTGTATCTCAAGAAAGAGATTGTAAAGATTTTATTAATTTATCTTAAAAATCAATTTTAGTTTATTAGATTCTCTTCAAAAATCTAATCTAGTTACTGAACTAGTGTGAAAAAAAATCAGATATTTTATATATAAAAGTCTGCTATTCTTCTTTTGAAATAGTCTGATCAACTTTTCAATTGAAAACAGACTTAGAAATCTCTTAATTGAAACAGTCTGATCAACTTTTCAATTCAAAAGAGTTTAATAAATATCTTAATTAAATTAGTCTGATTAACTTTTCATTGAGTAAGAATAATGAGTTCAAAAGTACACTCAGTTAATGTAAAAAAAGATACTTTCTCAAATACTATTTCTGAGATTGAAATTCTGAAGAGAAGAAAGAAAGAAGAAATAGAGAAATAATAAGTTCTTGAAATACAGAAACTTGAAAAAGTAAGTAAAATTCTTAAAAAGCAGTGTCTGAGTGAAATGAATAAAGAAGTTCTATTAATTCTTCATACTCAGACTAGATAACTACAGAAAGTGATTAAGTTCAAACTTGAAATTTCAAACACAGTTCAAAAAACTTTGAAAATTTCTAATATAATCACTGACTCTTCAGTTTACTCTGCTTTCTTTTCTACTTCTTCTTCTTCTTCTTCTTTAAATCAGAAGAAAATATATACTCAAGCAGCTGAATCTGCTATCTCTAAACCTGCTATCTCTAAATCTGCTATCTCAAAACCTGCTTAAAATTCTGAGAAAACTGAGAAGAATACTGCTCATACTTCTAGTGATAGAAGAGTGAAGAAAAAAATGTAAAAAGAGAAAAATCTTCAAATCTTCAGAGATAGAAGACTTATTCTTAAAGTCTCAAATCAGAACATATTACAGAGAAATAAGCTAAACTCAAATCTTATTTTTAGAATTAGAAATAAAATCAATCAGTAGTTCTTTTCTCAGTTAATAACTGATATTAAAGTTCAAAAATCAGTTATAGCTTTAATTAAGTTATTCTTCTTTGAAAACTTCATCATTCTAACTACAATGTCTGAATTCAGTGCTGAATTCCTTATTCAGAATAAGAATCTCTGAAAATCAGTAGTAGAATCTTTGTTAAACACAATAATTCTATTTAAGAGAGATGAAAAGTGAGATAAATTCATTCTTTATAATATTTCAGTTAAAATTTTTGACTGTGAAGAAGAAATACTACTTCTTAAAAATGAATTAGAAGAATATAACTCTATTTAACTGAGAAAGAAGCCTGTATGACTAAATTTAATTAAGTTCAGATAAAGTAGAAGAAA